TTTGAAATGTCTCATTCATCAGCCTCCCACACCTCAGCTGAGTTGTTTTATAGTATGTAAATATAGAGGTCTATGTAAAAAGTATTTAAAATATGCAAAAACATGCAATGTTAGATAAACCTGTTGCCCTAACTTTTTTGTTTTGTTACAGAGTTTCAATTTGTAGCTTCAGAAGCCTTGTAGTGGAAAGTTGTTTTTATTTGTTAACTTACAGACACGAGCATCCTACAGATATTTAAGTTCTACATTGTGCTTCTCACGTAACTCCCATGTACAAACAGATGGCTCTGGAAAAGCAGAGGATGTGCTCTGAAGGGCAGTATTTCCTCACAAGAAGTCGCACCCACTGGCTGCTTGATCTGAACTGTTCAGAGTGCAATTTAAGAGCTCCCTGACATTGATCAGGTGATTTTTCACATTATCTTATAGCTTAAGAATCTTCAGCGGATCAAAAACTTCCTTCTTTAAACTCCCAACATCTAGAAAAACGACTTGGAAAGCTTCGCTTTTCTTTTCTCCCCTCTTTGCTGGTAGGTAAGCTGGTTTTCCACATCTGTTCTGCCTGGGCAGGTTCCAGTGACGCACACTTAGTGCACTTTGCCAGGAATCCAGTCCTGAGTGTGAAATACTCTTTGGGAAATGGAAATCTATCAGTACCTTTGCAGAAAGCAAGGAGGATGAGAATTGAAAGTAACATCTAGGTGTGCGTTTGTTGGCAGAGCCCCTGGTAAATGGTCTTGTCTGTATTGCACAGATCGTTCCATGCCTGGGTGTGGGAGTAAAGAGGTTTGTTTCATGAACTGACTTGGTGATTGCAGGAAGCAATAGGTGGCAAGTCTAACTGTTACAGACATGGAGAGAGTCTTGTAAATTTGCATTGATAGGGTGGAGAATATGCTGTATGTGTCCAGTTTCCAACCGGGCATGTGGTCATCCTTCTATTGCAACTGTATATAGTTGTCATATGCATGACGACAAAAGCTTTTTAAGCAGATGTTAGCACTAGGATCCATTGGGAAGTCTTGCTGCTGCTTCCTGTGCTCTGTCCTTTCATTTAAATGTGTCCTCTTTTCCACTGTGTTGCAAATAGAGTTGGTTATTTTGAGTTACTCTTATGGGACTGTTTAAATTTTGGTCCAACTTTTAAAAGTGAATGTGAGCAATGGGCTCCCAGATTGTAACGCTGACATAGATTATTTTCTGTAGCCTGTAATATAGCAGTAGTTGTTTAATGTTGACTTGTGTTGTGGCTTTAAAACTGCTACATGTTTTTGTTTTAATGTTGTTGGTACAGAAAGCACTGGTACAAATAGCTGCTGTACAGATAGCTCCCTGAAAGCACTGCAAACCTCAAAATACTGCAGTACATCGTTTACCCAGAAGAGGGTATTCTGCAGCTGGGCCTCACAGCCTGCCCAGAAGGATTCTCCCTTGCCCTCTTACTGATGAATAATGAGGAAAAATAAAGGCAAACAATGAGTAGGTTATTCTGGCAGTCTTCATACAGTGTAACCTTAGGTAAAATGTGGAGAGTGAATACTAACAAAAACTGTCAAGCACTCAAAAGTGGTTGCCAGGAGTTGATTTTGAACATGCTGGCGTTACAGAAGCTTGGTCACATTCTGTAGCATCCTTTGCTGTAGGCTCCCAGTCTTGTGAAATGCAAACAGCAAACTGAAGGAGAGCCTTCCTGTGCATGGCTTCCTGCCTGGCTCCAACCTCGTTTGTTTGTGTGCATGTTGAGAGGAGGGTGCATGTGTGCATTTCCATACGCACAGAACTTTTTGTCTTGGGCTTCGTTGGACTTCTTTATTTATGCATTTCTCCACTTTGAGCTTTCTCTTCGATGCTTTATGCTGGCTAACTTGTCAGCAAAGCACGTTGAATGGTTTCACACAGCAGCCCACCTTGTTCAGTTGCCTCAGTCACTGATTTATTCAGATAATTCCTGGGAAATATTAGAACGGGCACCTCAGGCGTAGCATTCCTAGCCCCCAGGCCTGTTCTCACAGTGCAGTTTTTGCTCTCTGCTGCTGGGGATGAGTGTCCACATTTTCCACAGGTTCTCAGAACCAGGAGTTGAAGTTCTTGTTTCAGTTCCTGCTGCCTCTGCATTACACGCAGTGATGCTCACAGCTTTTTTTCAGTGTATATTATCATATCTAACTGGTTAAAGCAAACCAACTTGAAGCACTGTACCTTAGCTGTAAACAGCATAACAGTATGAATGTTACAGTACTTAGGAATGCTTTTTGGAAGAGCAGCACTGCATCATAGCTACTTAATCTGTGGGTAGGAGAAGGACACATAGGAACCTTCACATGTTCTAGCTGAAAATCCTTTTTTGTTCTGTATTTCATACTTAGCACTACTTGCAGTTTTCTTAAAAAAGAAGCAAGATTGTACTCAGTAGGAGTAGATCAGGATATCAGATTTAAAAAGAGTAGCAGCATCAGTGATCCTGGTGAATGTGAACCACTTACTTAAAAATGCTCTGATTTTTGCTCTGAGACACTATAGCTGCACCTTGAACGCGGGGAAGAAACAACAGAGGGCATTTAGCAATTAGATGTATTGAGAGAATTTACAGGTTCTGTATTGCAGCATTGTTTAGGCCACTGTTCTAAAGGCACAGCAGAGTGCTGAATACCCAGTGCAGGTTTTGGGCATCTCAGGGACAGACTTCAGCTGGAGTAAAGCCACATGCCTCCATTAAAACTAGTAATGTTACACTGTCATGCTTTAGCTGAGGATCTGGCCTTTGCTGCTTGAAAGTATGAATGTATGTAAAATTTTACTTCTCATTAATACTACCCTGTTTACTGTGCTGTAAACTCTTTATTATTGTATATAATTGTTGCACTGCTTCATTTGCCAGTTGTTTACAGCTTTCAGCATAAATCCTTTTCTCCTAGGGCTAAGTGGGAGCTCATGTTGTGAGTTTGTTGCATTCTGCATTCTTTGAAGTTTACATCCCTCAGAAGCCATTTTGTCACCTACCAATGTTGTAATCCTTGAGTACCTCCAGCCATCTTCTCTTTATAGGGTTTTTATAGTTAAACAGAATGGATTTTTATTTTTGTAGCTTGTAACTTCAACTGTATAGTAGTTATTCCTATTTAGTAATGAGTGGTCAGAATACTGTACAAACGTGACTCTGAAAAGCTGTAACTAATAATAACTACTTACAAGAAAATACCAGCATGTTAAAAGTTTAAAAAAGAAAAGTTATTCTTTAGCTTGGAACTACTGTGACTTGGAATTTGTATTGGATGTGTGTGCATATTCTGAAGTTGCTTTAAATAAGGAAAGAAAAAAAAAAAAAAAAAAAAAACACTGAGCTTAGCATGCAAATAATAGACCAAAAGGGGAAGTTGTAAACAGTTTTATCAACCAAGAAAGACATTTAGAACTGGGTGGGTTTTATGTTTCTCTTACAGGCATGGTATGAACAGGAATGGTCATGAAACAGTTGTTTCCTTATGATGCAGTTTAAGTGTCCAACCTCAACAAAAGCCATCTGCACCATTCTCTCTGCACACCCAGGAACAGATCTCAGAGCAGATCTGAATGCTCGGTGCTGTCAGCTGCGTGAGGTCTTACAGCATAACACTGAACCTCCAATGCAGATTCTGAAGGCGAGTGGTTACATGGTTCTTGATGTGGCAATGCTCTTAAATGCCACATTCTCCTTTGGTGTTCGGAAGGGGGGGTAAGGAGTGGGACTGCAGCCCTCACTGCCAGCAGCTGGGCCGTCCCCACTGTGAATCTGGAGCTTTCCATGCAGCTCTGTGTTGTTTGCGATTCTCGCTGGCTTAATCCAATGTTTCTGAAGCAGGTGATGCTGGCACTGACCTGTGGGCTAGTGCCACGTTCACTCCAGTCATAATAAGGGTAATAATGTGTTATTTGCCCGGGTGAGGTTCTGCCTATAAAAGCTGCACCTCGTGCAGTCACAGCAGCTGTCAGGGCTGAACCCCGCCCAACAGAAGTGAAACTGAAACCCTGGTAGTCAGTGGCACTGCAGCCTGTTGTGGCTGAGCTCCCCAAGGCTCTTTGGAGGAAGGCCGGCGCCGCGCTCCTCACAGAGCCTTGCAAGTGCACATTTTGCAAGGACTGGCTGCTCCTGAGCGTCCTGACGAGCTGTTGTGTTGTCCTGTTGTTTGTGCTGTATTTATCTCTGGTCTAAAGCGTGTGGATTAAAGTATTTAAACTCATTATTTTCCTGTTTCTCACTGCGCACGGAAGCAAAAGATGAGTTCTGGGAGCTGCACGGGCCTGCCGGCGAACGTGGCCGGCGCTCAGGTGCTCAGCACGGGGCGCGAGGCGGGAGAGCGGCCTGCAGCCGAGCAGAGCGTCCCGTCCCGCCGGGCCGTGCAGCCGTGCGACGGGTCGAGGTCCGGAGGGCGCAGCGCCGCTGCTCCTCGGCTGTGGGAGCCCCGCGTGCCCGCGCGAGGCCGCGCTGAGCTGAGCCGAGCCGAGCGCCCCCACAGCCCGTCCTGCCATCGCCGCGCGCTGTGCTGCCTCAGGGGCGCGGCCCTCACAGCTCCCGGCGGGAACGCGGCCCGTCGTCGTGCCTTGCCAGCGCTGCGCTGATTATTCGTAAGAGGTATGACTGAAATTAACTGCGCCGAAGACGGCGGAATTGCAGAGCCCTGAGCGAAAAGCTCGACCGGCTTTAATTAGAAACGTTTAATCGATTGATTCTTACGGACAGCGTTTAGAAATGTTAGAAACGTGGGGTTTTACCCCAGGCTCCCAGCCCTGACATGGCGCCCACTTGGCTCCCCGCCCGCCCTGCCTTGAGGAGGCGCCGCCCGCTGCTGCTCCCTGACAGCTGCGGCTCCTGGACGCTGAAGGTCATCCGCTTTTCTTCTGAACATCCCAGCCCTTCGGTTCTCCATGGACGCGGCGGTGCACGGCTCATCTCAGGCCGCACGGCTTTCCTTCCCTCCCCCCTTTGGTGCTCCTCACCGCGTCACACAGTAAGACAGCAGTGGTTTGAACAGGACAGCAACTTTATTTCTGCTTTCCGTGCTGCTCGCTTCAAGTCTGAGCACGGAAGAAAACCTTTAGAGCTCGGGTTTGCAATTAATATTTCTTGAATTAAAAAAATCAGTTCACTGAGATAACTGAAATGATCAACGATATCTAAGAGATGACAGGTGTGACAATAAAACATTAATAATTACAATAATTAATAAAAAGCCATAAAATCAGTGTTGCTGCCCTGAGAAGCATACCGAGCTGAAACTGCTGCAGCACTGAGCAGCTCCCGTTTGTGCTGAAGCTCAGGGCTGATAGCAGCACGACTGGCACATCTAGACATGCACAAGCATTTACTAATTGTAGTACTTTACTACTTTACTACTAGTTTTCATTGAGGAAAAATTAATACAGATGAAGGCATGCAGTGGGTAAGGATCTCACCAGTTACTCTCATTTGTACATCAGTGTGCAAATCATGTAACATTCACGGCTTTATTAACACCAGGATTCATTTTCTTTCTAGACTGATGAAGTCAGGTTCTTTAGAAAAGTGTAACTGGAATCTGTGTTTATGTTTTATTTAAAACCATTGTAGCTTTGATAGTATTACTGGCTGAGTAAAAGCACTCTAGTTTTCCTAAGCCATTAGTTAATCATGCTGTAACTAAGTCAATCCTAGACATAGCAGACAGGTTGAAACTCGATGATCATTGTGGTCCTTTTCAATCCAGGCCATTCTATGAACTAATATTTGACTCTGTTATATCAGCCCCAATGTTCTGATAAATCCAGAGATATCTGAAATAACACCTTTCAGAAGTGTGGCAGCTGTACGTTTCTCTCTTTGTTCCAAACTAACAGACCTTCATTCTACTATTCTAGTTCATTTCTGGCACAAAAGCAAACCAAAAACAAGAACCCCCTATAGTACAGTGGAAGGCTTGTTTCAGTGCTCATGGTAAACCAGAACATGTCTTACATGATACATGCTGATGTCACATTTAAAGAATCTACCGTTGTCCACCGTGGCAGAATAAGAGCTCTTCTATCCTTAGCTTGAGTGTCACTCCATGCTATGGCTAAAGGAAATCCAAAGACTTAGAGGTTAATGTTGACACCCTTTTGAAACCCAAAGAGCAAAAAGATAACAGAAGAGCTGGACTCTCTCCACTGCACATGCCCCTGAAGTACCTTTTTTCCCCATAAAAAGGGGACAGGGTACTCCTCCAGCATCCCACTGGGTGAATCTGCAGCCCCATGCCATGGCTGAGCAGCTCACTGGAAAGGATTTCTCAGATGAAACTGCTCATGTCCCCACAGCTGGAGAGCTGGAAATGCAGGAAAAAGAAGTTCTGACTGCACTCTTGGTTCCTAACAGGACCCATCCTCCTTCCTCGCCTTTTGAAGTGTTTCAGTGCATTGGAAGGGTGGGACTCTTGAAATAGAACAACCATTACAAAAAAAGCAGTCGCACTTTTAGATCCAGCATCAATTCCATATACCATTCTGGACCAAGGAATGGAAGTATCAGAATGATGCTATCCTTTGCAAAGTACTATGAGCTTTCAAACCAAGTAACCAAAGACCACAAAGTTTAAGTTCCTACAAGTTGCCCTCTAAAACTCTTTGACTAATATGAAATGTAGTCAGAGGTTCTTTTGAGCATTCTAACAGTTCCCTTTCAAACTGTCAGAAGTAGCTTTGTGGTTTTTTTCCTCAGCACATACTAAATCCCACTGGAGTCCAAGAATTCCATTACATGAGCTTCCTTGTTCTCCATGGGGAACTCCAAGACATAGAGCTAGCATAGTCAGTCCAGAGTCATCACCAAGGAACAGGCTCAATACCTCAGAGATCCAAATACCTCGATTGCCTACTGATTGTTTTAAAGCCGTGATTAAGAAAAGCTGAGGTACAGATCCTTCTGCACATGATGAGGACTTCTGGGAACATACCACAACCCAAAGAAGACCAGGAGAATTAAAGATCCATTTCAGAGGAGATGGAAATGTATTCCCTTTTGCGCTGATTTCTTGTAGGCTTCAAAGGATGCTTCTCACAAAGAGGAAACATCATTCTTTATGCACTGTGCTCCTCAAATCAGAGTCACAGTAACATATTTACCCCACAGGAAATCCAGTCTCTACCCACTAAGCAAATGAAAATATGCCAACAGAGAACATCCTGCCTTCCAAAGGGGAAAGGTTTTATGACAGGAGACTCTGCTTTGAGTGAACAGCATGTTTATGCTCCTCTACAAACCAAACATACACTCCCTAAACTCCTCAACACACAACAGAAACTCCAAAGAGCCTTCACTGTGAGGATGTGAAGCATATTGTGGGTCAGAACACGACACAGAATGCTTCAACCCATAGACTATTGTTACATATCCACACTGCTAGACAGGATATCTTCCTGAAATATTCTGTGATATAGTCACTGTCATTTATTTCCTGGTGATTCTGATACCATGTCTTATCCATCAGCTTCTAATGAGATCTATCGTAACAATTTTTACAACCGAGTGTTACAAGACCTGAATTTACCTCTTTCAACAGTTCCTTCCATTGCAGCTCAGTGGCAGTCACACACTGAGAACACGCACTGTAAATCCTGGCCGCAGACAACAGTCTGAATATAGAGAAAAAGTTAATGCAAAACAGAGACCAACCTCAAAGCCTGAAACACTTTTCAGGGAATCTCTCCTATTTCCTTCTCAAACAGTCATATTGCTACCTGTGAAACACAGGCCTGAAAACTGAAGATCCTTTACAACAACTGCAGAATCTACAGCAGCTACTGAACAACTCATTTGTTAGTGGGTTGTATTGTAGTCTTTGCAAATCCTTTCTCTCTGCTTTTTAGCGTCATCGTTTTACTCGATCGCTACCTAAAGGCTATAGCAATGCAGGCCATAGAATCATCCAACATCCTAAACTACCTAAGAGTCATTAATTTTCATGCAAAGAAAAAACAGAAAAACACCAAAACCCACAAAAACAAGAAAAAGCAACCAACCCAGAATCTTTGACACTGCTTAGACTAAGACAAATAAGTAAATATTTATGAATTCAACATATGTTTTATAGCTGCAAAGATGAGATGCTGCAGGGAATGATTATCTGTATGTCAGTATCCAGGCAAACTACATGAAGGTACCAGGCCTTATGGTTTCATTTGGCAGAGAGAGAGGACAGTGCCACTGGAAAATAACCAAAAGGCAGGGTGCACAGCTTCAGTAAACTGGGCTTTGAATTTATAGATCAAGTTAAGGTTTTCCCCAACAGTCAAGAAGAGCACGAACCCTCCATCACAGTGGAGCAGCACACCGATCTTAGTAGCCCTTGTACTGGGTAAGCACTTTTCAACATCATTATGCCAGGCTGAAATTTTGGAATTAAACCACTCGATACACCAAGATCTGCTGTTCCTACCCAGGCGGCTGTCCGGGCCCTGCCGCTCCATGCTGCCATAGCAGATGCCAATGCCACAGAAGTTGTTCTGCTGCAGTTCCACTTCCCAGTAGTGGATGCCTCTCTTGAAGCACTGGAACCCCAGCACCTGGGGACAGTCGGTGAAACGCTGAGGGTGGTGGTTGTAATTCAGTAGGATGTCTGAAACGGACATCTTGGTGTATCGCTCAGACAGAGCCACTCTGTTGTGGGCTGTGTTGAAATCCAGTGTGACATTAGCAGCATCTGCAAAGACAAGAATCAACAGGAGGTAATAAAGATCAACGCACTTCTGTTTATTCACTCCCGTGCAGGCAGCAGAATTCGACATCTCTATCTCTGCTCAACACTCCTCCACAGCGCAGGCAGTTCTGGCTGCAGTGGTAGCTGCTGGGCTGACCTGCAGCTCTGTGTCACTGAGCAGGCAGGCAGCAGTGGGTAAGCATCCTTCCTTCCTACAGCCCCAGGGTTTCCCTCACCACCCAAACATATGCCAGCAGCAGAGGGAGACTGCTGATCTGGCAGTGAAAGGATATCACCGCCTCCGTGGGCTCACACAAGGCCTGCATTTAATTCCAAAGAAAAGTACAGCGGGTTTCATTGCTTTTCTAGACTCCCCCTAGTGCAGTCATCTGGGAAAAATCAAAAGATGTTACTGATAAAACTTCATTTACTCTCTGACAAATACCAGGATGCTGAAGATTAATTTGATTCATCTGGCAAAAGAATCACTTAAGTTAAGTTTCCCACCTCCTAACGCTTCAAAACTTGTAACTATTTTATAACCTACCAAAGGCCACCTACTTAACAAAACCCCTCATAAGTCTTTTTGTCAGGTGACCACAAAAGTCACATGGCACCAGTGCAATAAGCACAGAGAGTTCATCTTTAAATAGTGCAATGTTTTCTGTCTTACACTGCAAAAGCTCCACTCTGGTTTTTTTCAGGAAGCTGCTGATAAGTTCTTTCACTTTAGCAGCAGTTGCAGCATTTGGTGCTCCCACGCTTGGTGCTGTGTTGACAGAAGAGAATTTGGTCAGTTGGGAAGAAGCTCCACATGCATAACAGAAGCAGAGAGGTTCAGGTTGGAGTAGATCTCCAGAGTTATCTGGACTAGCTGTGTGCTGCGAGGAGGGCTCATTTCAGTATCAGCTCAGGCTGCTCACTGTCTTGTCAAGCTTTACACACTATACATATACATATATATATATATACACAATATACCGCCATTAGCAATCATCTGCTTATCACTTTACGAGCAGTCAGTGAAAATCAGAGTCTGAACTTCCCGAATTTAACGGGATTCTTTTTGTCCTCTGGAAAAAAAAAGTTAACAGTTTACTCTCTGCCAACTGTAATTCCATCATCATGGCTCTTCTGGAACTGCAGCAATAGATAAAGCTGACAGTGCAGCACATTGAGGCCACCCATACTGCAGTGCTACACAAGAAACACAACCTACCATTTGCCTCCCATTTCAGAGGGTCATCAACCCAGAACTCTAGGCTGGAACACATCGGGGGAAGTGGCAGCCTTAGAATGGAAGCAATCTGCCCATCAAAATGTTGGAGGCTGCCTCTAATCACTACTTACGGGTATCTGTCTCCTCCAGCAGAGTGATTTTCATTTGTTGAGAGGTTTTCTCTTTGTGGGTACGTGCTTCGAGGAGGAAAAAAACCAGAACATGATTAGCTCATAAGCAGAATTTGTTTCATATAAGTAGATGGAAGAAGCAACCCAGATGTTTAGTACAAGTAAAAGAAGAAATATTCCAAAGCATTGCGAGGCAGAAGAGCAGTGGGTACTGCAGGAACCAGAGGTTGGAGGCTTGGCTTCACTTTGCCATCCACACTGACTACTACAAGCACACATGCATGCTGAAGCTGATGGTACTGAATCTGTGCAGATTGCAGCTCACACAGTATCCATCACTAAACAGCACAAAACATCCTGCCCTTCCCAGGCCCAGTGCCCATTATACATAATTGCTGCATCACCACCAGAGCAGAAAGCTCTGGGGTACGTGCTTGAAGTCTTCTTTAATGGTAAAGCCATGGTTAGGACAGGATGATGTTCTTCAATACTTACAGTCTGCAGCAAGCTTTTTTTTAAAAACAGGTTTGTTTGGAGAAGGCATTGAAGGTGGCTTCATTTTCCCAGGAGGTGGTTTTGCTGCAAGGGCAATATTTCACATTACGGTCTGTATTGCCAAGAAGAGTAATGCATGAACAACCTTCTTTTTCAGGTGTGTGATCAGAACTTAAGTGACACTTGGCAGAAGTGGAACTGCACCGAAGTTACCCATGCTCCAATCCAGGAGAGACTCCTGCTTAACTCGGTAAGTAGGGCTTTATTCTATAAAATGACACCATTAGTACCTTTACAATTGTTTAACCATACTCCTATCACTCCTAAGGCATTTTATGTTTCCCTCTTAAATCTATATCGTGACTGCATCCAACCCTACTACATAATAAAAATGTAAATTACTTTAAAAAAAAATGAAGGACATGCTGTGCCAGAGGGGCACAGTATCACAATACTCATAACTTATCCAAGTACAGAGAAAAGTAAGAGTCACCAGCACATTCTGTTCCCATATAGTTCAGCCCAGACTACACGTTTTTGTTTGGAAGTTGGAAGACACAAAGTATATTGATGGGCTCTATTTGCTGCACTAGTTTTTATATTTGGATTGGAGGGGGAATCTCTCTCATTTGAACTCAAAGCCAAGGCACAAAATGCCAGTTCCCACAGTGATACAGTACCATCCGTTCTTTTATCCACAGGCACATTCACTGCCAGTTTGACAGCGTCTTTAAGGTTAATGGCAGACTGATAAGCAGCATGTATCATGTTGTGGTCCATTTCAATCACTGGGACAAAAGCCTCTTTTACTGATGTTCGTTGCAGTGCTGCTGCTCTCTGAAATGAGAAACGGAAAATCTCATGCAGAGCAATTTATGTGAGAAATACAACCAGGTTACTTTAAATGGGTTGGGTTTTGTCCATTTATCTCAAATGCAAAAGAGCACAGGTGACAATCAGACAAAGCCTTGGCAAAATTTCAGCAGCAACTCAGCAGCCCATAAGCATTACTTCCTGATAGCTGAAGCAATAAGAAAGCTCTGCCTCACAGCACGGAGATGTAACACCTCACAGAGGGGAGCTCTCCCTCAGAGGCCTTTCTGCACGCAGCACAAATAGTGGCTGAACTGGGGAGAGGTGGAATCGCAGACAGCAGTTTGTTCCAGCGTTCCTTCACTTGTGTTTGTGTACTTATCAGTACATCTTGTTATACAAGGGTCTTGCACATGACTGCATTATCATTTGACTAAAGGATCTGGAAAGCACGACTACCAGGGCAGTTTTTTGTGATTCTGCTTCTAAAAACCTAAAGAATTAGATTTGTATTTAAAGGACACATTACCTTTAAAAAGAGAATATCATCACCTTCGGTCAGTGCCATCTCAATCTGGTCTCTCAGAGACTGAATTTCATTCTTCTTGCTTCCCAGAATTTTATATATGTAATCAAACTTATTGCAAACTCTTTTTTCTTCTTCCATAACTACTTTCACGGTCTGGTTTTCTTTTTCTTCTATTAAAGCTTTAATTTCCAAAAATTCAGCTCTCAGCAAATCTCGCTTTCTGGCAGCTGCCTCCTGGAGCAGACACAAACAGGCAGAAACTGGTTTCAAACCAACAGTTAGGGGAAAAGTGCTGCTACTACTGCAAGAAAAAAAAATGTATTTGGGGAGCATGTAAACTCCAATTACTCACTATGTATTCTATGTAGTTTGGAAAGAAAAGTCATTTACTCCTAAGTAGAAATTAAGACAGTTCTGTGTCTGTTCTGCGGGGCTGGACAGCCAGGCCATCTCACAGTTAGAACAGCTGCTGCTCACTAATGCTTTAGCTTGGGCTGCACAGATGCACACTTTCTGGTGCAGTGGCAATGGATGGGTTCATCCCAGTTACTGCTCAGGTAACTCCTGTGTGGGTGAGAACCACCCCTGTCAGGAGTTGCGTTTGCTCCCATCTGCCATGAAGCTGCCTGGCTCTGCCAAAATGGCTCTTTTCTGTCCTTCTCAGTGAGGTTTTTTCCTGACAAGGCAATCTCAGTACAACTACTGCCACAGGAGTACAAACAGCATTCAGGAGCCAACACACGCCAAGCAAAAGTGTTGTCACTTACAGCAGCTTGACTTTGGATTGTTTTCACAGAGTTCATTGCTTGCACAGATCTTTCACTCTGGCTGTGCAGCTCTGCCAGCTTCTTCTTCAGTGCTGACTGCAAGAGAGGAGATGAGAGAGCAGTTTAGAAAAGGTGTTGCTGTGCTGTCGGTCGGGTCATGGTTACTGAAGTAAGAATCACAGTTGAGAGCTCTAGATAACCACTGTAAGCATTCAGTACTACTCATTTAAAACCCATAACCCTGCTCCTTGTGCTCTCCTGCATGCATGCAGTTTGTGGGGCCAGCAGCCCCACCTTTTCTAAAAGATGGGCGTCCTTGAGTCATTCTCCTGATAAGGGAGAATGCTCTCATCAGCAGAGCAGCTCCCAGCACTGAAAATAAACTTTGCTTTAGCTTTTACCCTGGACTTTGGGCACTGGGTAAATACTGCTGCTCACCTCTCGTTTTAACAGAGCATTTTATTTCTCAGATGTGATTGGATCACTTCTGAGTGCTGTGAGATGCACTGGCCAGCTTTCCTTCCCCACAGCCCCACGGATAACAGCTCCTGGCTCATTTTGCTCATGCTACAGATCTCCCTAAGCTACTTTTATGATTCTTTGCTTTGTTAGAACACACTCTGTGCAGTGTCTGCCTGCAGTCTCTCAGGCCACACAGCAGACCCCGTGCAGAGGGCTGGGCGCTGTGCCGCAGGCCAAGCATTGCTGGGGCCTCTAAGGCACAGAGCAGGGATTGCCCTCAGCACTGCTTTGTGCTCAGCCACAGCACAGCCTTAGAGAGAAGGAACACACGCGCAATGGAGGCACACTCAGGCAAGTGTGGAAGGGCAGACAGTTACCTGCCAAACCACACACAGGACTGCAGCCCATGTGTGGCTGCTGGCACTCTGCCACCCGTGGCCCTCGCACACAACGGGCAGTTCTGCCATCACCCAGGGAGTGTCTGCAGACAGTTCTGCTCCTGGTCACCCCGTTCTCACCTCGGCTTTGTCTTTGGCCTGCTGCAGCGGGCTGGTGTGGCACAGCTTGTGGCTCAGCAGGCAGAGCGAGCAGATGCAGTAGCTGTGCTGGCTGCAGAAGAACTCAAAGAGCTTGTTGTGCTGCGGGCACTTCCTCTGCTGCAGGTCCCGCACGGGTGGGCACAGCTGATGGTCGCGGAAGGCCGGGCTGTCGTGGTGTGGCCGCAGGTGCTCGGGGCAGAAGGAGGCCATGCAGGTGAGACAGGTCTGCGTGGCGGCTGCCTGCAGACAGCTGTCGCAGTAGATGGGAGCTGCCACCTCCCGCTCTTCCTCCTCACACTCATCGTCGTCCTTCTTGTCCCCGGCGCCCTGCAGCTGCTCTACCACCCGGCACAGCACCGTGTTCTTGCGGAGCTGCGGGCGGCCCGGGAAGGTGGTGCGGCACTGCGGGCAGCTGAAGTCCTGCACCTGGTCGGACCAGGTGAGCTCCAGGCAGGAGGCGCAGAAGTTGTGCCCGCAGGGCACCGTCACGGGGACGCTGAAGATGCAGAGGCAGATGGAGCACGTCAGCTCCTCTTCCAGCGCCAGCAGGTTCGGCTCCGACTGAGCTTTGGTCAACGCCGCCATCCTCCCGCTGCTGCCGCCCGGTCCCGAAGAAACGAAACTGGGGTTGCTGCTTTCCCGAGTATTACGTGGCGTTTCCCCGCCCCGAGGGCGGCGCGCCGGGTGCGGCCCGGGCTGCGCCCAGCGGGAGCGGCGGCCGGGACGGGGCGGGCGGGGTGAGGGAAGCGCCGGGGCAGCGATGTCAGGGGAGGTGGGATGCGCGCCGGGACGGAACGAGGCCGCCCCGAGCGGCGTCCCGCTGGGGGATCTCGAGTGCGGGCGGCGGCTGCGGCGTCACCGCGGGCTGTGCCGGATCGGCTGCTCGTAAAGGTGCAATCGGGAGCTGCTCCGACCGCCCTGAGCGGGATGCAGCCCGGCGGGCGCTGGTGCGGGCGGTTCCGGCGAAGTAACTGTTTGTTACTGACACCGCTGAGTGCGGGCAGAAACCACCCGAGGTTTTTGCTCTTGTTTTTTTTGGGGGGGGCTTTGGTTTTTCCTCAAGCCCACAAAGTGAGTCAGGAGCAAAGCACGGGTTCGCGGCTGAGCAGGGAGCTCAAAGGGCAGCGGCCGCAGCCCTGGCCGCCCGCTGTGCTCGGGAGAAGCGGGGCGGGCCGCAGCAGGGCGCGGGGCTGTCCGGCACCGCAGAGCTTTCCTCGGAACGGACGGGTGCTGAACCGCGCCGCGCGGCTGCTCGGGCGTTTGTTGCAGCCGGTGCGGTTTTCTTGTTTTGTTCCGAACAAAGGCAGCACAGACACTTCAGCACTGGAAGGGCAGAAGGGTTCGGCTCCGAAGGTTTTCACGGCCCGCTGACAACATGCTGGGACACCATTTTGTCTGGGATTCATTTGTATCGCACTGGTTCTAGGCACAGTTCTGTCACCAACACCGTTCATCTTCCTCTCTAAATTACAGAAGCTTAAAATCCTTAAGCTTTTCTTGATGTTTTCAGGTGAACCCTGTACAGAACCGTAAGGTCTAGACATGTGTGTCACACTCTGCGGTAAAGGAAGACTCATGAATGTCAATGTATATTGTTTTCAATGGCGGTTTTTAATTATCCTTACAGCAAGCTCTGTATAGCAGATACACTGCTCTAGACAAAACAGAACATAGCAGCAGAGCTACCAACACAGCACAAGGTCATATTTTATATTTTCTATCAAACCATTCCAGTTTTGCAGCTCGCAGAAGTAGAATATAAAAACTAAGATTCTATTTAAAAAAAAAATCGAATCTATATTAAATCTATACTAAACAAAGCATTCTCGTATCAACACAAAACCATACCTTAAGAAAACAGTGTTTATTTTAAAACCATTTACGAAAAATAACCACCAGTGCACCTGCTGCCCTCAGAACTGGAAGGCAGCTTCTCATGAAACAAGTCCACACAAGTATTTACACATGTTCACATCTCAGACTGCTCCGTTTTCAACGCCTGATCCGTTAACTGGAGGCTCAACAATTAATCTGGGCTCAATCAGTGAATCCCAACTTTCAGTTATCTGGAAGCAAAATACAGACAATGTTAGCACGTACAAGGAGTACAGACAGGTGCAATTTCTTCTGCACCACACTTTGGATGTGAACAGCAGCACTACAGAACAAAGGTCACGGATCATTCCTCCAACTCAGTGATCTTCATCAGCCTTGACCTGCTAATGTGCAGGTAGGAAAAGCAGAACCTCGTGGATAACTGAGCCAAGAAGTTACACACAATGGTGACCTTCTAAATCTAATTAATTGAAATCATACACAAGAATTTATTATCTCACGATAATTCACATTCTTGTTAGAAAGGATTTTTTTTTGCTTTCATTTACTTTAATGAAATGCACCATTATAAAAGGACAGAAATGAACAGTGTTGTAAAGCAGGGCAATGTGCCAGCAAAACCACGGGGCCGCCTTCAGAAGAAGGCAGCACGTACCTTTGTGTCCTGAGGAACGGCGTACTCGATCAGCTCAGCCCCATCTGCAGACTGATAAACCAGATCAAACTTCCCTGGCTCTTTAGCAACTTTTTAAAACAAAGCAAAAAACCAACAGTTAACTATAAACAAAAAGCAAAAGGTTTACATTTTTACCATAGTTATAAAGTGAGGCACAGTTGGATGCATGCTTTTTTTGTTTTGTTTGTTTGGTAGGATGTGGTTTTTTGTTTAAAGTATTACTCCAAGCAGTTCCAATAATTGAGGCTCCATTCCTTCAGGCGATCACCGCATTTGCAGGAGTGTCACTCTGTACTTATCCTTTATCACAGCACTGTAACAGCACCTCACCTTACCAGCCTGTGAGGGATGAGCTCTCTCAGCATCTTTTGAATTGCAAGCATCTCAGCAATGTTTAGAACTCTAACAAAATCTGACAAGAATTGAATTCTACACACCAAAAGTAAGGTGGCTATCTAATAAAACCGTGTGCCTGAGAACATTCATCCAAATGTGCTGCCTAAATTTGAGAAAATGCTCTGGTGATTCATCCCCACCAGTATAAAGGTCAGGTGCCACACACAGCCTCGCTGCCAGGTCATTGCATGGGCTCCTTCCACACCCAGTGGAAGACTTTTTAAGGAAAGAATGGGGACAGAAGGAGGTTAAGAAAGAAGCTGAGGAGATTATATATGGTCCCAAGTGCCTCACACAGGCTGCTCCCCAGTGATGCACAAAGCAACAAGCATTCAGTGTCCCAGGGTACGTACTTTGGCTTGCTGATGAGGAAAGGATCTCAAGCTCGATCTGTTTTTTATCAGCATTCCAACTGATTATTCTCCCCTCCTTTACAAGGGAACAAGAAAAGAATCAGATAGGATATACTTCAGCACTGGATAACTATTCCATGTTACAACCACTGTGATACTGGATTACAATTACAGGAAGTATGTGTTTGTTAATTTTTTTCTATCTCTCTATATATACAAAATCTGCAAGCTATTACAATTGAGCATTCTGCAGTTTCTGGCATAGATAAACTCATGATCCTGTCACTGACCTGGCAGTAGTTTAAATCATGACCTTTCTAGAAACCAAGTTATTTCAAGTAGGTGCTGAATTACTTACACCAGAACCAGGAATTTGTCTTGACTTTCAAGAGCAATGCACTCAAATACAGCTACAGTTTTCTCCTTGAAGGCCTGCGTTTGTCATCTCTAAAACAGTGATATCATTAATACTCTAATACTCTTTGTTTTCTTTTTTAAGTAACTGCTACACCTTTCACATTTTCAATTAGTTTCAGGTTTTAGAGTTTTGATTTTACTGCTGCACCAGGAATAGTCTGCAGAGTGACATGAGAGATAGTATTAACCTAAAAATATTGAAGTTCTACCCCACATGATAGTTTTTTCAGTGAATTAAGGAGGGAGAAAAAATAATACCTTATATGATGAAACTTCAGGACTGTAGTTCTCATTTAGTTCCAAGCGCTGTTGAAAGAAACACAAATCAGTGACAGCTTCTCCTGATCCTCTCCCCAGGCACGGCTCCTTCAGCAATGGGAAGCACAGGGACCAAGGCACCCCGCTCCCAGTGCCTATCACACTGCCAGGACTCACTGCTCTGAAGGACTCCGGTTCAGGTCAGGCTGTGAAAGGAGATCATGGAGAGGATCCAGTCTCCTCAGCAGCAATTATTTCATTTTTCTTTACTTCTTTCAAAAAAATCATTTTATTTTGCAGTGAAGTGTAGCTATTTGTATGGCTAATTTTGTAATAATACTGTAGAAACACTACAGAGAGAAATAAGAACATAGGGATGCTAACACCAAACAGTGGTGTTTTCTATTCTGTGGAAAACTGTTAGGTTAGAAAGACAGCAAGAGAGGGGTGAATGCCTTCAGAGCTGCCTACAGAGATTTGGACAGTTGGAAATTCTGAACCACACACTGAAGTTTAAAGCAGATTTTTGACTAATGAACAAGCAAGCGAGATTAAAATAATTCATGGATTCCTAATTCTTGTACTTTCAAGGCAACGGTCCCAGATCCAATTCTAAAATACAAGCTTTTGGTTGGCAGGACTATGTATGGTTCCCTGCAAAACTTACAGTGCCCGAATAAAACAACACTGACCTACTGATGTTCAGAACCTCCAAAGATCTTTACCTTAAAGGCAATTCTTTCTCCCACTTGTGGTGGGGCAGCTAGAAGTGGTAGAACGCTGTAGTCTCTCTTGGGAACATCCACAGCATTCTGCAAAACAAACAGCTGCTGATAAATCCACCGTCTGCAAAGAACTAAGAATAATACAGCCTGGCCACACGTGTGCTAGGTTATAAACAACTCCACAGAGATTTCTGAGTTTCCCAGGGAAGCACCCAGTGTAACCAAGTGTGTGAATCTCACCTGGGGGGGAAGAGTTTTTAAAGGTATAGGCTAAAGACTTCAGAGCAGTGCTCAGTGAGGGGAGGTCGTGCCTTGGGGTGGGGCTGTGCTTTGGTATTATAACGAGTGCATAATGAGCAAAGTTCACCTGAAGGACGGCATTTTGTCTAAGAATGACAGACTGGCAGCCCAGGGTAGCACATCTACAGCTTAGTACCACCAAGTTCCCATGCCAGCATTGCATTTAAAGTCAGTAACATCAGTTCTCCAGATGTTGCCCAGGGAGCTGCTGTGGAACAGAACCTGGCTGTAGTTTCTGCTCCACCCACAGTGCCATCTGCTGGCATATCAGCTGCACTCTGCTCTGCACCCCTGTGAACAGTGCTGTGCCTTCATTTCCAGGTAGCCCATAGCAATTATTCCACCAGTACAATCACTTAAGTGTTGTTTCATAAATGCTTCTGCAGGATATATACTGCGAACATCAGAATTACTGTTCAGATCTACCAGCCTTTACCCTTACATTTTTCAGCTTTTCTGAATTACTTTCATGCTGTACTTTATTTGTACAGTTAAAGCTGTGAGAGAGCTGGTCATTGACTGTGTAAGTCACTCACCTGGACAGGAACAGAAGTGTTTGTCACAGCTTCGTGTAACTGCCTCTGTTTCTGGCCTTCACTGCTGTAACTATAGAAGAAGCCAGGGCTTTCTCCTCTGCCCCGGCCCCTCACCATCCCCCGGAACC